CGCTCAGGTCCAGGTGAAAGGTCAGATGGGGCACTCCAACAGACAGCTTCAAGGTGAGGGGAGTCTCTAAGTCTAGGACCTCTCATGGCAGAGGTGTCTCTGCAAAAAAATCCATCGGACTTTCACTGGTCTGTCTCGTCCAGCCTACTGAAGTCCACCCTCCTCTCCTAGCCTCCCCCCCCCAACCCCCAGCCTGGCCTGGGAAAGCACAGTGCGCCATAAGGAAGAGCTTACAAAGACACCAAAACTGGCTGCAGGACCTCCTCCTGCCGAGAAGGGGCAGCTTGAAGCAGCAAACTCTGGCAATCCATTGTCCAACGGTGGAATCTACCTGATCATATTAGAGTAGTGGTTTTCAACGCTATTGTCCATAAGCTGGTTCAGATCTTGGTTCCATGGTTGGCAGCCCCCAGGTCAGTTCCATCCCATCAAGGTGTCCAGTCCCGGCTCCCAGAACCCCACTGCATATTCTTCCCTTAAGATGTATATACATTCAGATTTTTAAAAAATGTATTAGGAAAGTACAGTATGAAAGAAGGGCTTGGACACTGAAAGACAAAGATAAGCTGTAGGGTTAGAGGAAGCATTTAGTTACAAGAGCATGTAGAGAAAAGGGTTATATATGACTTCTGGTAACTGGCCCTGAAATGCTGCTGTGGTCTACAGGAGCGAACTCAAAGAAAAGTTTGTAGTATGTGGAGCTCTGGAAGAGTAAAGCAGGATTCCACTGAAAAGGGGGAAATGGGTTTTTTTTTTTTTAAATACTTAGTTTTACTCTGTTTAAGTGATTTATTTAAATCATACTTACATTCTATAATTAAAGATAAAAAATTAGATGACGAAGACTTTCAAGGTTGAGTGATTAAAAACCAAGTTTTTGGACCCGTGTTTGAGAGCAGGAGTCTGCAAACTTTGTCGGCAAAGGGCCAGGTAGCAAATTGTTTTAGGCTTTGTGGGCTGTCACAACTCTTCAGCTCTGCTGTTGTGACACAAAAGCAGCTTTTGAGAGTATCTGAACGCACGGGCATGGATATGTTCCAATAAAACTCTATTTACACAAATAGGCAGTGGGCCAGACTTGGCCTGAGTCACAGTTTGCCAACCCCTGTTTTGTAAACTGAGATTCAATTAAACATGAGTGTGGGAATTATTTAGACCATGAAGTCATAAATCAAGAGCTACAATCCACTTGAGGTGGCTTTCCCAAGCTGCAGGTATCAACATTTGAAGTAAATGTTTTGCGGATCCAAGCCTAAAAGTCTACAACTCCAATTTCTATTAAAAAAAAAAAAGTCAGGGTTCAGTAAAGATGTAGAAAACCCACCCTCCACGGTGAAGTTTGGCTTCTTGACTTTTCAGATCAAGAGTATACGAAATTAGGTTTTCACTTGAGCAAAGCTTCTCATAGACAAGTAGCCTGGAAATTGCTTCCCCAGTGCTCTCTTGGATTACTTTTGCCACATTTTAGGCAATCAATTCTGTTGTGCAAAAGTATGTTGAGGTTGTTAGCATTAGGATAGATGTTTAAATGATTTTTAATGCTCTTGAAATTTAACAATCATTGTTAGTTGAAGATTTAAAAATTAGCAAACATTGTGCAAGTAATTCTAGAAAAAGAACTGGTCTATGACTGGAGATAAAAGTGTTAAGTTTGTGGATTGTTTTTTTTGTTTGCAAATGACAGAAAACCCAAATCAGGTTGGTTTAAACCAAAAGAGAAGTTGCTAGCAGAGATGTGTGGCTTAATATATAGATTAATTATCACTGGGACCCTGTCTCTCTCCATCTTAGCTCTGTTCTCCACGTTGGCTTCCTTTGCAGACTCTATAAAGTCATGAGATGGCTGCCAACAGCTATGGAGGAGCATCCTCTAGGTTCAAGTCCAGTGAAAAAGAGAACACCTCTCTTCCCAAAGTCCCAGTAAGTCTCATGGCCTCTCATTGGCTCTAGCTGGCTCTCATGCCCCTGGCTAGCCCAAGGCTGTGGCCAGGGGTTTGCAGGGCTCCCAAATGGCCCTCACGCACATCCAGGCAGCCACAGGGCAGAGTAAACTCTGCTTGAAGCATGTGGACTGCTTGCGGTGGATCACAACGGTTCGCTGAGGAAAATGAGGGAAGGCTAGATGAGTTCTGAAAGGCAAAACCAAGAGCTACATCTTCAGTTTTGTTGGACCTTCTCTTGAGAAACTCGGTTGGCCTCCTGCGCTCTTGGTGTCAGGTGTGATTTGCCTCACAGCTGTCTCTTGGCATATTCCTTCCTACCATAGCCAACTTTCAGTTTATCTGCAGTGGTGCAAATGTCCAGGTCAAGCCTTCCTGCATAGCCTACTCCACATACAAAATGGCACAACCAGTGGGGCCATCATACGTTATATACGGAGAGGCCCAGTGCCTTTTTCCTTCCAAAGTACCTGGGGCCTGAGGAGCTGCTGCAAATCTGGGATTAGATGTTTAGGTTTGAAAATGTAATAGCACAGTTTTCATTCCTTCATGTGACTGAGGAAAGATCATGGGTTCCCAGAGAGGACCCATATTCTTAAATTCCTCTCATTGTCTGAGCTAATTATTAGAACTTGATTTCCATAACTTGAAACACAAGGGTTATAAATAATCATGTGTAAATGTGCTGTGTATGGAGAACCTCAAGCTGGTGTGTGTATGGGATGGCAGGATGATTCCAGCGGGCGAGGGAGGGCAGGGCCGCCAGCTGGGGCAGCTGAGACTGTGGAAGGGTTGTGGAATACCACAGTTGCTTCAGGGTAAGAGATGGCAGCAGAAGCTCGGCCAGGCCAATGATGAGCAGGAGGGACCATAGTCTGTAGAAGTGACTTCTGAGGGGTGGAAGGTAGAGGGAAAGGAGAAGTGTTGGCTTGGCTCCTCATCTGAGCTGCTGAGGGAGGTGAGGACCACATGGACAGCAGCAGTGGCCACAAGCCAAAGGACTTATGCAGGGAGTCACGTGAAACAAAGAGTGTCAGGCCCAGAGGAGAGGACTTAAAGAGTGAGGAAGGTTCTGGAACATGCCGTAGAGGCAGCCAAACAAACTGTGTAACGGGAGACCGTCTTTCTGTTTTACCTCAGTTGATGAGCTAAACATTTTACCTCATACCATGGGGGAGTTTAACTGTATGCCTAAACAAGCAACAGGGAGGGGCATAGCCAAGGAAGGTAAGCCCTTCAATGTGGGGGAGGACAGAGTCTCTGAGAAGTCAACTTCTTCCATGTTATTCCAGAAGGTGACAGGGAAAAGAGATGTCCGACATGAGCCTTTGCCTATGTGCCCAGATCTGTGAGGGTAGGGGTTGTGGTGGGCAGCAAAGGCAGCCCCCCACTATGCCCCACACCCGCTGGGCCTTCCTAGAGCAAGAAAGCCTGGGTTGCTCACTGCAGAGATCGGCGTGAACGGTGGCACCTGATCTCTGCCTTCACCTCAGAGTTCACCCAGCTGGGAACTGCACATTTAGTGTGTTCAACAGAGGTGGAAACCCACGCCCTCCCAAATCCAAGCAGTCTCACTTTCACTCCTGAGGTGAACTCGAGGCCCCTGGGTGCCATTTGTAGAGGACGCACGTTTCCCTTCGGGGGTGGCATGGGGAAGCCCACTCTGTGGCCTCGCTCTCTGGGCCATCTCCCCTGGAGCCTCATCCTTTACATCTTCAGACCCAGAGGCCATGTTTCCGTGAGGATCTCCTCGGCCTCTGCAGGCTGTGGAACAGGACTGTCTGGGCTTGAATCTCAGCTCCTACATGGGTTATGAACCTTGAACGAAGAGCTTAACAGGCCCATCAGCATCTCGATTTCTTAATCTGTAAAAGAAGAATGTGAATGCTAATTTGTGGTGAATGTTGCGTAAGGTAATACACAGTGTACACGGCTAAGTATTCGGTAAAGTCAGCTACTTACCGCTGGCTTTCCTGTCATAGCCCGAATGAGGTCTCTCCCGTCCCTTGTCAAACACCTCGGTGTGTTTTTCAGGGCTTCCTCTTGGACCAATTCCTACCGATGTCTGTGTACCTTCCACCGTGTGTTTCCTGAACCTTAGGACCCAGTGCCACCCATTCCAGAACATTCCACCACCCGGAGTAGCTGGTACTTGGCTGGCTCTGGACTTCATGGAGTGGGGTTTATTCAGAGTTTTTGAGGAGGACCGTGTGCCCAGTAAGAGCAGGAGTACCCCTTGCCGGACTTCTCTCTCTGAAAGGGGGGGGGGGGTTGTTAGACGTTTCGGCGTGTTAGGGAGACACCTAAGGAGTAGAAGCATTTTTTCTCAGGTTCTCACCTGAGGGCTTTGCTCCACCAATGCACCTTGGCAGCTTCTCCCAGATCAACAGTAATGCCCTATGTTTCATGATGACTTCATTATTGCATCTCAGAGGCCAGGCTGGTCGGACTATTTCTTCAGTGCTTTTCCTTTCCAGCTCAACTAGTCATTAAGAATCAGCTTCAGGGGCGCCTGGGTGGCTCAGTCGTTAAGCGTCTGCCTTCAGCTCGGGTCGTGATCCCGGATTCCTGGGATCGAGCCCCGCATCAGGCTCCCTGCTCGGCGGGAAGCCTGCTTCTCCCTCTCCCACTCCCCCTGCTTGTGTTACTTCTCTCACTGTCTCTCTCTCTCTGTCAAATAATAAAATAAAATATTAAAAAAAAAAAAAGAATCAGCTTTAAAAAAACCGCACGGCCCGTGTGTGCAGCCCAGGGCCTCCCCCTCATCCCCCCTCCTCTCGCGCCCCCTGGAATCAGGCTTCAGAAAGTAATCTCATGCCACTCCCAAAAGGCTGCACCTGATTTGTTTCCATAGCGTCATAGAGGATCATTAACTCCTCTACACTTTCTCAAACTTATTAAATTATGAAACATTTGCTGCACCTGAGTGCACCTTGGTCTCCTGTGGTGATTGGAGGGGGCAAGAAGGGAAGTCTGGAAGCCCCACCCTCCCCAGGGCCAGCCCAGCCCAGAATCCCTGGCTTTCTCTCTCCCTTATGATGTTGGCAGGCAGGGAGACGTTAATCTCTTTCAGCTGGAGCGGGTTCACTTCGTTTCTCTCCTGAGAGGAGGCCAACAGGAACTGACCCCAGGTTGCCATGAGCTCTGTCATCACCAGCTGTGAGCACCCCGAACCTTTGGTGAGTGCGGCTGAAAGAGAGGAGACGAGAAGAAGGGGGCAGGCAGAACGGAAGAAAGGCCTGGAGGGGGTCCTGGTGCCCTAGTTCATTATTCGTGCTCAGCACATGCGGCTCACGTTCTAGAGAAGATTGTAGATCGCTAGACAGGTGTGCCGCTGCCCTCCCTACCACGCTGTCGTGAGGCCAGGATTCCTCCCTGAGTGCTGAACTCGGTGAATGCCTTCCCAAGCAAGGAGGAAGCCCTGGAAGATCCTTTTAGTTTTACCTTTATTCCCAGCTGGTCTCCGAAGATACCTAAATATTTGTTTTCCAGGTTTCTCCGTGCTATGATTTCTTTGCTCAGAAGGACTTTCTAAAACAAAGCAAAGGGAAAGAGAGAGGGCATCGGAGAGAGAGAGAGAACTAATATTTACCAAACAACCAATCCAGCCCGGGCACTTTATATGTTTTATTTTCTTCCTTCCAAGCCAACGATGCGGGTGCTTCTGTTCCCAGATAAGGAACCTGAGGCCCAGAGAGATACAGTAACAGTAAGGTTCCTCTGGAGGCTTCTCTGGCGAGGCCTTGAGCCCTGCCCCCCGCCCCCCCACCTTCCCAACCGATTTTTGAGCACCTAAAAGTAAGAGGGTGAACTGAGTGGAGACACTCTTGTTCTTGGCACTGCTCACCCCCAGGGGGAAAGAGCTCCTGTTCACCGGGGCCTGCGGGCCCTGCGGGATGGGGGTCACCCACAGACGCTGGCTGGGCGCCCACAGCTGTCCCCTGGGGCCAGGCCGCCAGACCCTGCCCACAGAGGCTCAGCCCCCTGGTGAAGAGACCCCGGCTGTTTTTTCCCCAGGAACTCGTGCAAGGCACTTGAGAGATCTCGCTGCTTTTTCTCTTCAGGATTCTTTCTGCCCCTACCGTCATGGAAACAAAACAAAACAAAAGTCTTGGGAAATCAGTCAGAGACTTCTACATTTTGGTTTACCTGAGGCCACCTGGAGCATGGCAGGTCTGGGCTTGTACCCCTCCCCTTTTCAGTGGCCTGCCTTCTCTTCATCCTCGGCACCCACTCTTCTGAGATGTCTTTGGTTTTGTATCATGTTGCTCTGCTGGAAATTTTGAGGAACATTAACAAGGGGGAGATAGGTTCCTGACCCTGAAAGCTTGTGGCCTAGCTAGGGGAACGCAGCGTACACAGAAATGTTTCTGGTACAAGAGAGAAAACAGCAAATTATGTAACAGAGAGACACAGGGTGCTGGGAGTTACCGGGGAGAAAAATCATATGGGTGTGGGGAGGTCAGGAGAGGTGATGGGGAGGAGGTGTTGAGCTCTTGCAAGTGGGTGGGGGAAGCAGGGGGCTCAAGGGGGGCCCCACAGGGGGAGCTAAGGCTCTGACACAGGATAACGGGGGCCACACTTGGAGGAACCTGGACAACCCCATTGGCTACAGCCAGGCAGATGGGAGTGTTAGGAAACAAACCTAGAGGGCCAGGCAGGGTACTGGAAGCTGTGTGGGGTGTGAGTGGAGTCAGAGGGGCAAGGGACCCCTCTTCCTCCCGGGAACTCCATTGCTGTCCCTGCACCCGAGTCTCCTCCTGCCTTGCCTGGCAGCCCCAGGCAGTCGGGCACTGCACCCATTTACATTGGCACGCTACATCCATTCATTCGGTCCACACTGAACACAGGTGTTGGCTAATCTAGAAGCTGGGACTACACAGAAGAGTAAGGCACAATCAGTGCTTTCTAGGAACTCACAGCCCAGCAGAAGCGAGGGATACGGTAACTGTCCATTCGAATAACCACGCCGTGAGGAGAGCTTTGGCGGGTGTAAACACAGGGCGAGCCCCTCTGAGGGCAGCTACAGCATTCTGGGGCCAGGATCCCCATGTACCTGTCTGGGAGGGAAATCTGCCCATTTTCTGACCTTGGAGTTGGCTCCCAACCCCTCCTCCACGAAGCCGCTACTCAACAAAGGGCTTCAGGCAAAGCAGCCACTCACCTCGCATGACCCCAGACCACACACACAGGCCCTACTAAAGATGTGTAATGTAGAAAATCACTGGTCTTTTGAGTCGGGACCCAGAAACCCCAAACTGGCCAACCGTTATCGCTGTCCCCTTGCCTCTTGCCCCTGGCAGGCCATCCATCTACCCAGCTGAAATCAGGAAGTCCACTTGATTCCTCTTAAAATGTCTAGGTGTGTCCTTCTCTTGTTCCCAGCAGAGGGATGATGTGCTCAACTGTCACAATGATGGCCAAGGCAGGAGGAAGCCTGGGCGGGCCGGGAGCTCCAGCAGCAGCCCACTGATCTACAGCATTCTGGATGTCCCACCGTGGTACCTCTGCATCCTCATGGGGATCCAGGTAATGCCACCCAGCGAGCCCTGGGTCCAAAGAGGCTCTGCCTCAAAAACCACACTGATCACACCCAGGCCGAATTAGTCAAGATCTACAACTTTGGTTACTGATATTCTTGTCTTCCACGTAGTTGACTTCCAGGGGAACTCAAAGCTCCTTGTCTCTCTTTCTCTCAGGGGTGTGGGGGTGGGGGGTTGGAATTAGCGCAAGAGTCTCCCTCATGCTAAGCTGATAGGTCACATCAAGGACGCCGACTGCATCATTTTCACGATACCGACCTCGATTTATTTGATTTGCAACAACTTAAAAATGTGATAACCAGGGCTTGGGGAATTTGGGGAAACAAGCACTGTCAAACGCTTGTGTTGGAACATTTTTTGATGCAACCTTTCTGGATGACCATTGGTGGTTTCTATCAACATGTAAATCATATGCCCTTTAACCCAGTCCCCAGTGTTTAAGAATTTCTCTGTGGATACACTGGCAAGACTTGTTAGGTACAAAGACGTTCTTGTAACATTATTGGCAATAGTAACATCAAACCACACAACAAACAAATAAGCACAAACCCTAGAAACAACCCAAATATCCTTCAAAGGGAACGGGCTGAACAAACTGTGACCACATCCGAACAGATGACTTTTGTATGCAGCTGCTAAAAAGAGAAAGATATATTTCTCTTGCAGTTAGGGAATATTCCCCAATAGATGGTAAGTGAAAAAAGCAAAGTAAATAACTATGTATATGCTGTTATCTTTTATGTGTGTGTTAAAAACAGAGAGAGAGAAAGATAGAGATAAGTATGTGGAGTGATTTGGGGTTTTGAAGGATCCCTAAGAAACTAACAAAGGTATTTAGCTTTGGGAAGAAGAACCAAGAAAGGGGAGATGGCTTTCCGTTTTCACTTCTGATTCTGTAAGTTTCTGTAACATGAATTTGCCAGACTCACAGATGTGTTTCTTTTAATTTTACAAAGTGTTCATTATGGAATATCAGGGATGGGGTACACTTTTTGTTTACTTCTTGGTGCTTTTCCATAAAGTAAGAAAAGCTGATGTCATACTACTTAAAAAATATTATGAGCCGATAAAATGGATCATATAGATAATATAGATCTACAGCCACTGACTCAGAGAACTGTAAGGACATATTTTTGAATTTAAGAAAGCCAAATGCAGCTGTCGAGTTTTCCCAACATGATTTGTTGAACAGCCTGCTTTTCTCCCATTGGATATTCTTTTCAGCTTGTCAAAGATCAATTAACCTATAGTTGTGGGTTTATTTCTGGGTTTTCTACTTTGTTCTATTGATCTATGTGTCTATTTTTGTGCCAGTACCATGTTGTTTTGATTACTACAGCTTTGTAATATAATTGAAGTCCAGAATTGTGATGCCTTCAGCTTTGCTTTGCTTTCTTCTTCTCCTCTCCTCTCCTCCTCCTCCTGCTTCTGCTGCTGCTGCTGCTGCTGCTGCTGCTTCGTCGTCGTCGTCATCTTCTTCTTCTTCTTCTTCTTCTTCTTCTTCTTCTTCTTCTTCTTCTTCTTGGGGAGAGGGAGAGAGGATCTTAAGCAGGTTCCATGCCCAGCGCAGAGCCTGATATGGGGCTCAATCTCATGACCCCGAGATCATGAGCTGAGCTGAAATCAAGACTCAGATGCTCAACTGACTGAGCCACCCAGGTGCCCCTCCAGCATTGTTTTTCATTTTCAAGATTGTGTTGGCTATTCAGGGTCTTTTGTGGTTCCATACAAATTTTAGGATTGGTTGTTCTAGTTCTGGGGAAAATACTGTTGGTATTTTGATAGGGATTGCATTAAATGTATAGATTGCTTTGGGTAGTATAGACATTTTAATGATATCTGTACTTCCTATCCATGAGCATGGAATGTCCTTCACACTCCATGTGTATAGGTCTTCCACCTCTTTAGTTAGGTTTATTCCTAGGTTTCTTATGACTTTTGGTGGAGTTGTAAATGAGATTGTTTTCTGAATTTCTCTTTGTGCTGCTTCACTATTGGTGTACAGAAATGCAACAGATTTCTGTATGTTGATTTTGTATCCTGTGACTTTACCGAATTTATCAGTTCTAGCAGTTTTTTTGATGGAGTCTTTCAGGTTTTCACGGTATCATGTCATCTGCAAATAGTGCAAGTTTTACTTTTTCCTTACCAATTTGGATGCCTTTTATTTCTTTTTGTTGTCTGATTGCTGTGGCTAGGACTTCCAGTACTATGTTGAATTAAAGTGGTGAGAGTGGACATCCTGACCTTAGAGGAAAGGCTCTCTGGTTTTCCCCACTGAAGATGATATTAACTGTGGGTTTTTCATACATGGCCTTTATTATGATGAGGTGTGTTCCCTCTAAACCTGCTTTGCTGAGGATTTTTTTTTTTTTATCATGAATAGATGTTGTACTTTGTCAAATGCTTTCTGTGCACCACTGAAATGATCATATGGTTCTTATCCTTTCTCTTATTGATATGTATCACATTGGTTGATTTGGGAATATTGAACCACCGTTGTAACCCAGGAATAAATCCCACTTGATCACGATGAATGATTTTTTAAATGCATTGTTGAATTCAGTTTCCTAGTATTTTGTTGAGGATTTTTGCATCTATGTTCATCAGGGATATTGACCTGTAGTTCTCCTTTTTAGTGGTGTCTTTATCTTGTTTTGGTATCAGGATAATGCTGGCCTCATGGAATGAATTTGGCAGTTTTCTTTCCTTTTCTATTTTTTTGGAATAGTTAAGAGAATAACAGGTATTAACTCTTCTTTAAATGTTTGTTAAAATTCACCTGTGAAGCCACCTGGCCCTGGACTTTTGTTTGTTGGGAGTTTTTTGCTTACTGATTCAATTTCTTTGCTGGTTATCAGTCTGTTCAAATTTTCTATTTTGTCCAGTTTCAATTTTGGTATTTTGTGTTTCCAGGAATTTATCCATTTCTTCCAGGTTGTCCAGTTTGTTGGCATGTAGTTTTTCATAATATTCTGTTGCAATTGTTTGTATTTCTGTAGTGTTGGTTGTTATTTGTCCTCTCTCATTTGTGATTTTATTTATTTGAGTCCTTTCTTTCTTTTTTTTTTTTGATAAGTCTGGCCTGACGTTTATCAATTTTATTGATTTTTTTTCCCCACAGAACCAGCTCCTGATTTCATTGACTTGTTCTATTGTTTTTTTAGTTTTCAGTTATTTCTCCTCTAATCTTTATTATTTCATTTTTTTCTGCTGGTTTTAGGTTTTGTTTGTTGTTCTTTTTCTAGCTCCTTTAGGGCTAAGGTTAGATTATTTATTTGAGATTCTTCTTGCTTCTTGAGATAGGCCTGTATTGCTATAAACCTCCTTCTTAGAACTGCTTTTGTTGGGACGCCTGGGTGGCTCAGTCGGTTAAGCGTCTGCCTTCGGCTCAGGTCATGATCCCAGGGGCCTGGGTTCGAGTCCCAGATCAAGCTCCCTGCTCAGCAGGAGGCCTGCTTCTCCCTCTGCCTGCTGCTCCCCCTGCTTGTGCGCTCTCTCTCTCTCTCTCTCTCTCTCTCTGGCAAATAAATAAATAAAATCTTAAAAAAAAAAAAAGAACTGCTTTTGTTGAATCCCAAAGGTTTTGGATTGTTGTGTTTTCATTTTCATTTGTTTCCATGTACTCCTTTTTTCTTCTTTTATTTACTGGCTGACCCATTCACTGTTTAGTAGCATGTTACTTAACCTCCATGTATTTGTGATATTTCCAGATTTTTTTCTTGTGGTTGACTTCTACTTTCATAGTGTTGTGGTCAGAAAAGATGCATGGTAGGACTTTGGTCTTCTTGAATTTGTTGAGGCTTTTTGTGGGCTGATATGATCTATTCTGGAGGATGTTCCATGTGCACTTGAAAAGAATGTGTATTCTGCTGTTTTAGGATGGAATGTTCTGAATATATCTGTTAAATCCATCTGTTCCGGTGTGTCATTGAAAGCCATTATTTCCTTGTTGATTTTCTGTTTAGATGATCTGTCTATGGATGTAAGTGGGGTGTTAAAGTCCCCTACTATTATTGTATTACTACTGATTAGTTCCTTTATGTTTGTTATTAACTGTTTATATGTATTTGGGTGCTCCCATGTTGGGTGCATAAATATTTAAATTGTTATATCTTCTTGTTGGATTGTCCCCTTTATTATTATATAGTGTCCTTCTTTGTCTCTTGTTACAGTCTTTGTTTTGAAGTCTATTTTGTCTGAAATAAGTCTTGCTACTTGGCTTTTTTTTTTAAGATTTATTTATTTATTTGAGAGAGAGAGAGAGAGTGAGCATGGGCAGGGGGAGGGACGGGGGAGAGAATCCTCAAGCACACTCCCTTCTGAGTTTGGAGCCCAATCTCATAACCCTGAGATCATGACCTGAGCTGAAACTAAGAGTCAGATGCATAACTGACTGAGCCATCCAGGTACCCACCCCCCCCAGCTTTCTTTTGACATCCATTTGCATAATAGATATTTCTCCATCCCCTCACTTTCAATCTGCAGGTGTCTTTAGGTCTAAAATGAGTCTCTTGTAAGCAGCATATAGATGAGTCTTTTTTAAAATCCATTCTGACACCCTATGTATTCTGACTGAAGTGTTTAGTCCATTTACATTCAAAGTAATTATTGATAGATATCTATTACCATTTTATTACTTGTTTTGCGATTGTTTCTGAAGATTTTCTCTGATTCTTTCTTGTCTTTCTGCCATATTTTGCTGATTTTCTTCAGTGATATATTTGGATTTATTTCTCTTTACTCTTTGCATGTTTCTTAGTGGTTTGGTATATAGCTGCCATTAGGTTTGTATATAACCTCCTCTGCAAATAGCAGTCTATATTAAGTTGGTGGTCCTTTAAGTTTAAATCCATTCTTTTCTCCTCTCCTCCCATGTTTTAGGTATATGTTATTACATTTTATATTTTTGTGTGTATGTGAGTTCCTTGACTGATTTTTTACAGAAATATTCATTGTTACTGCTTTTGTGTTTCCTGCCTTTATACTGTCACTTTTGGTCTCTCCTTTCCACTCAAAGTGTCTCCTTTAATATCTCTTAAGGGACTGGTTTAGTCTTCATGAACTCCTTTAGTTTTTGTTCGTCTGGGAAACACTTTATCTCTCCTATTTCTGAATGATAGTCTTGCTGGATAGAATATTCTTGGCTGCAGATTTTTCCCATTAAGCACTTTGACTAGATCATGCCACTCCCTTCTGGCTTGCCAAGTTTCCATTGAAAGATCTCCTACTAGCCTTGTGGGTTTTCCCTTGTAAGTTAATGACTTCTTTTGTCTTGCTGCTTTTAGGATTTTTTTTCTTTATCACTATATTTTGCAAGTTTAATTACACTATGTCTTGGTGTGGGTCTCCTTTTGTTGATATTGTCAGGAGTTCTCTGTGCCTCCTGGATCTGGATGTCTGTTTCCTTCCTCAGATTAGGAACATTTTCAGCTATTATTTCTTCAAATACATTTTCTGCCCTCGTTCTCTCTCTTTCTTCTTCTGGGACTCCTATAATACAAATGTTATTATGTTTCATGGATTTACTGAGTTCCCTAAGTCCATCCTTGTTTTGTGCAATTCTTTTTTCTCTTTTGTTCAGCTCGATTACTTTCCATGACTCTGTCTTCGAGGTCACTCATTTCTTCCTCCGCTTCTCCTATCCTGTTATTCATCCCATCACATGTGCTCCTCATTTTGTTTACTGAGCCCTTATATCTCTGCTGTGTTAGTCCTTATCTCTGTGTTAAGGGTCTCACTCATGTCTTCCACTCTTTTCTTAAGTCTGGTGAGTTTCCTTATGATCATTGCTTTATATTCTCTAGCAGGCATGTTACTTATATCTTTTTTGCTTAGCTCTCTGGCCATGGCCTTGTCCTGTTCTTTCATTTGGGATAAATTTCTCTGTCTCCCCATTTTGTCTGCCTCTCTGTGTCTGTTTCTGTGTGTTAAGATAGTCAGCTCTGATTTTGCTCTTGAAAGTGGTGGCTTTATGAAGAGGAGGTCCTGAGTGCCCTGCAGGGCAGTGTCCCCTGTTCACCAGGACATGGCATTTCAGGCGAGTCTCCTGTGTGTTGCTAATGCCCTGCTGTTGTGTCTGAGTCACTGTTCCTTTCAGGGCAGTCATCTGTACTGCCCTCTGCCTGTTGTGGGCTGTGCTTGCTCTCTGTCTGTCAGTGGGATCCAGGCAGGCCAGTTCTGAAGGGGCATGCCCGCCAGGCAGTTTGGGAGTGGGGCAGCTCCCAAATTCCCAATTTTGTTAGCAAAATTTGCATTGGGCCACTAGTTCTAGGCCAGATCCCCCGAAGCACTTAGGCAGCTGTCAACTGGGGACTGTGAGCCAGGTGGCTGGGGGTGTGAGGCTGGGCTCAGTGCACTGGCTGGGTGCGTGGGCCTGGCAGCAGTGCACCCTGCGGCTGGCGAAGCACATGCGCAGCTTTAACATAATTTGCCCTGAGCCCGGCGGAGGCCACAACTGTCGTGCAAAGTGGCTCTGTGTTTATGCTGGAGGATTGGGGAGGAAAAGGGCACCTGCCGGCTCCCTTGTTTTCAAAGAAGTCCCCCAGTATGCTCCGAAATCAGTTTGAACAGATCTGTCTCCGTTTGCCCCAGATGTTGTATAAGAGGGAGGGAGAGAGAGAGAGAGAGAGAGAGGGAGCGCGCAGGGGGAGGGGCAGAGGGAGAGGGAGAGAGAGACCCAAGCAGACTCCCCACTGAGTCTCACAACCCTGAGATCACGACCTGAGCCCTGAGCCGAAACCAAGAGTTGGCCGCTTACCCGACTGTGCCGCCCAGGTGCCCCTGAACTGCCATTTTTATATTGCCTCTCCCCTCAGGCTGCTGGCTCTTTAAGGGCGGTGACCCGGCTGTCACTTCCCCTTCCAGTCGGCCCAGTGCTGAGTCAGCTGCCTTTCACAGCTCTGGGCTCCAAGTCCCCCCCCCCCGCCCCACGGTTTTACAGACTCACGGAATTCAGTCCCTCTTGTGTTTAAAGCCAAACGTCACGGGGATTCGTCTTCCCTGTGTGAGCCCCCTGGTGCCAGGGCCCATTTGTCTGCCCTTTCTGTGTGCACAGCTCCCTCCCTGCTGCGGGCAGCCTCCCTCCACCTTTCTGACCTTCCAAAACTTTCAGATGCAGCTGCTTCTCTATGTTCAGTTGTGGAATTTGTTCTGCCTGTCTTCGGATCACTGTTCAGTTTCTTGATTTGGATGGGGATGATACCTAGTTGTAAGCGTGGAAGGGGGTGAACTCGGGAGTCTCCTGCCCCACTATCCCCCCGAGCTCCAAGTCTCTCGCCCACTTTTTAAATCAGATTGTTCGGGTTTTGCTATTGAGCTCTATGAGTTCCTTAGACATTCTGGATATTAATGGGGTGCCTGGGTGGCTCAGTCAGTGAAGCATCTGCCTTTGGCTCAGGTCATGATTGGGGACCCTGGGGTGGAGCCCTGAGTCGGGCTCCCTGCTCAGCGGGGAGCCTGTTTCTCCCTCTCCTCCCTGCTCATGCTCTCTCTCACTATCTCTGTCCCTCTCTCTCTCAAATAAATAAAATCTTAAAAAAATTTTTTTGGATATTAACCTTTTATCAGAGAGACGGTTTGCAAATACTTTCTCCCATTCTGTAGGCTGCCTTTTTATTTTGCTGTTTCCTTTGCTGTGCAAAGCTTTTTACTTTGATGTAGTCCTGCTTGCTTATTTTTGCTTCTGTTGTTGGTGTTTTGGTGCCATAGCTAACGATCTTTGTCAAAACCTGATGTTAAGGAGCTTTTCCACTGTGGTTTCTTCTAGGACTTTCATAGTTTCAGGCCTTATATTTAAGTCCTTAATCCATCTTGAGTTAATTTTTATGAATGGTGCAAGGTAGGAGTTCCATTTTTCATTCTTCTGTGTGTGGCTGTCCAGATTTTGCAATACCATTTATTGATGAGACTACCCTTTCCCCCATCAAGTCTTTTTGGCTTCCTTGTCAAATGTTAGTTGACCATATATGCATGGGTTTATTTCTGGGGTCTCAATTCTGTTCTATTGGTCTATTTGTCTACTTTTATGATAGTACCATTCTGGTTTTTCTTTTTTGTTGTTGTTTTTTGGGTTTTTTGAAAATAACATTCTTCCAGTTTTAAAAAACTGCCATCAAATTTAGTAAAGAATCTGCTTACGTTTGGGAAACAAATGAAATTCTGGTATGTTTTTATTATTTCATTTTTGTCTTACATTTTAAGGTAAATGAAAACATCAACCAGTTCTCAGGTACCATACTGTTTGATTACTGTAGCTTTGTAATAGAGTTTGAAATGAGGAATTATGATGGCTGCTTCTTTGTTTTTCTTTCTCAGGATTGCTTTGGCTATTTGAGGACTTTGGTTGTCCCATACAAATTATAGCATTGTTTTTTTCTGTTCTTGTGAACATCATTGAAATTTTGATAGCAATTTCATTGACTCTATAGCTGGCTTTGGATAGTATGGACATTTTAATGATATAAATTCTTCCTCCCTTCTGCTAATTTTGGGCTTAGTTTATTCTTCTTGTTCTAGTTCCTGGAGGTGTAGAGTTAGGTTGCTTGAGATTTTTCTTCTAGGCGTTTATCACTATGAGCTTCCCAGGAGTTTCGATATGTTGTGTTTCCATTTTTGTTTGTCTCAAGATATATTTTTTTAAATTTCCCTTTTGATTTCCTCTTATTCCCATTGGTTGTTCAGGAGGGTGTTGCTTACTTTCCACAAATTTGTGAATTTTCCAGTTTTCCTCCAGTTTCATACCATTACCGTCAGAAAAGACCCTTGGTATGATTCCCTTCTTAAATTTGCCAAGGCTGTTTTGTGACTTAACATATGATCTGTCCAGGGGAATGTGCTCAGGGCTTCCTGGTCATTAGTCTTGCCCTCACCTTGTACCTTGTTTTAATTATGAGCCTCTTACCTTGTTCTTTTTTTCTTTTTTTTTAGATTTTTGAAAAAGATTTTATTTATTTATTTGACAGAGAGAGAGAGAGCGCGCGCTCAAGTAGGCAGAGAGGCAGGCAGAGGGAGAATGAGAAGCAGGCTTACCGCTGAGCAGGGAGCCCACTGCAGGGCTCCATCCCAGGACCCTGGGATCATGACCTGAGCCAAAGGCAGTCGCCCAACCAACTGAGCCACCGAGGCGGCCCTCTTGCCTTGTTCTTTTTCTGAAGGCCCCCTCTTTGGTTCCTGTTATGTCCTCCTGTTTTGTGTCCGTGCCTGGGTTTCTTACCCAGGATATCAGTTCCCAGTGTTAGAGTTCTACCCTTGAACCCCAGACCCTCAGGCTGGGTCTCTGTTTCTTGCTGCCTGGTCTCCCTTGTTCCCACTGCTGATCTGGATGTCTGCCTGTCACTCCCGGTCAGGCTCCTCTGAGACCAGAGGTAGAGCTCTTTCCTCTGGCAGAGGACTAGGAATGAGGGTGGAGGAGGCAGCCCAGCATCTACCTGTCTGTCCACTCTCTCTGCTCTGCCCACAGCACTTCCTCACAGCCCTGGGGGGGCTCGTGGCCGTGCCACTCATCCTGGCCAAGGACCTGTGCCTGCAGCATGACCCCCTGACTCAGAGCTACCTCATCAGCACCATTTTCTTCGTCTCCGGCCTCTGCACTCTCCTGCAAGTGTTTTTAGGAGTCAGGTAGGTAAAACTCTTTTCCCTGGCTTCTGACTTTTCACTGCTGGAGTATCAGCAAAATTTGTTTGGCTTGCAGCTGGAGAGGTGGTTAGGCAGCTGGTGGGACCTAACAGAGGGAACATGGGACTTGGAATCAGAGCCTGGGTTCAAGTCCTAGCTCTGTATTGGCTAGTATTCTCGGTTCACGTTACATAAATGTCTGTATTGGCTAGTATTCTCGGTTCACATTACATAAATCCAGATTAGTTTAGGCAAAGATTTGTTCTCTATTAATGTATAAGATCAAGGTAAGAGAAAGGCAAGGTGCATCATGCATCAGGAACAAGGACTCAGATGGGACTTCTCTTGTTTCTACAAAGGCCTGCCCCTAATTTTTGTGAGATGCAGGGCAAGAATACAAATGGATTCCCACACACTGCATGTCTAAATATTGGAGAGTTATAAACCAAACTTAGAGACTCTTAAATAAGATATGTTCTGATCATTCTACCTGGAAGGCCAGGTTTGAATCTGGAATTCTGTCACCACTCAAAATTCTGCTTTGGAACTTAGCCACATGGGGAGGGCCAATCCCCAGCCTGTGGCCTTCCTCCTTCTCTTCCTACCTCAAGCTTTGCTCCAGATCATAAATGGTCTTACATGCATGAATGTGGACACCACAGCCTGCATATCCAAGCTCCACCCCCCCCACACACACACACACCAGATTCCCCAGATAGCTGATGCTTGGCCATCCTCAGGCCTGGGGATGTGTACACCTGCATCATGGTCTGCCATGATGGTCTGCCTTCAGACCTGAGGAAGAGGCCCAAGCAGGCTCTGGAAAAGGCTCAGGGCCATTTGGGCAGAGAATTCTTGGCTGTCAAACGGGAGAGGCACACAGACTTGAGGTGGACATGTCCCCTTGGCCCCACAGACACCTCCCCCTAGAAGGCAGAGCGGGGCCCTCTGGAGCATCGGGCTAGGTGCAGGGGGCTCTCCTGTCTGAAGACAGAGCAGTCTCCTCACCACATTGCCAGTGCCTGTGCTCTGTTGTCATGGACAGGCTCCCTGCACAGGAGGGGGGACAGGTGGCTGGCAGTCCTCACACTTCTCTCCCAGAGCAGGTGAGTTCTGCTCCGGCAAGTCTCCCATTTTAAAATTCCAGGGAAGAGCGCTAATTGGTGCAACATAAACCAGATGCCCAGCTCTCACCCATCGGGGCAACAAATATGGAGACTCCTACTGAGGAAAGTTTCCCAAAGAAGCAGAGAAGAAGAGTTTTGTTCTGAGTAGACAAGACAGCAGAGATTCACTGAGTGGGATATGGGGTTTGGGACCTATAAAATAAGGCCGATGCTCATATTGCCTTTTCTCCCTTAGAGTCGCATTGATATGAGCAATTGTTAAAATCAGTGGAATCACCTTTAAAAAACCAAAAACAAAAAACATCACGTCCTTGGCGCACCTGGGTGGCTCAGTCGGTTAAGTGTCTGCCTTCAGCTCAGGTCATGATCCTGGAGTCCTGGGGTCGAGTCCCACGTCGGGCTCCCTGCTCGGCGGGAAGTCTGCTTCTCCCTCTCCCTCTGCCTGCCACACCTCTTGCTTGTGCTCTCTCCCTTTCTCAAATAAATAAATAAAATCTTAAAAAGCAAAAACAAAAACATCAAGTCCTTTATGCTCATACATAGGCTGCTAAAATTAGTCTGAGTAAAATGGAATCCGATTGCTCTGGAGCTGGCCTGGACAAAACTGTGAGGCCAGGAAAATGTCTCTGGAGCTTTCCCCCTCCTCATTTCCACACCTCCCCTCTTCCTATTCTCCACCACCACTCCCTGCCCCACCTTGAGTCCCAGAACTCCACACAGTGGCTCCCTTGGTTACCGTCAGCTCAGGAAATCCCTCTCTGTGGGTCCTCCAGCCCTCCCCCACCCGCCCCCTCACCTCAGACCCGTGAGTCCTGCGTCTTCTTCCTTTAACATTAATTTAGCATCTAGTCCAAGGACAGATCCAGGTTTTGTTCAGCCGGAAGCTTACACAGTTTTTGGTGTCCTCTTTAAGAAAAAAAAACAGAAGTATGAATACAAAATCACATATGAGAGAGAATATTATTAACTTGAAAAAAATCACAGCAAATCACAAATTTTAAAAAGTAGATAAACCCCACAAATGCCACAAATTCCAAAATAGAGCATGACGTTTTTATTATTTAACGTTCTTACAGTCCCCTGTAATACTTCTCCCTCACATTTTATGCCTGTGTACTCTTTTCTTCTTTAATTGAAGGCTGTGTACTCTTTGATCACCTCTTCATTTTATAAAGAGAAGGAAAGATAATTCAGTCATGAATTATCATGGATTTGTCCAAATTTGTTTGTACTTCCTGCTAGCTGAAATACATCATTCTGCCTTCACGCACAGACTGTAATAGTGCTGTGGATTTGTGCCCTGCAAACACAGAAATTCTGTTGTACTCGATTTCTATCAAAAAATTTAAAAATGTGTGCTGCATTTATAAGTGTATATGGTGCATTATTATGTATATTCTTGAGAGGAGACAGCTTCCATCCTGCCTGCGTAGCAATGAGAACCAAATCTTTTCTGGCAATTTCGCATATCTGATGGTTGTCCGATTTTCCAAAAAATCAATTTTCTGGCACCATACATTTCAGACCTTGTTTCTCATCCACCACCCACGTAGGTCAAATGTCAGGTGCTATGGGACACATTCATGACATAATGTGACCTCGGGTTCTGTGCCTTCTCGTCACACGGTAGAGTGAGCTGGTACGGAGGGTGGTAGGAATATGGTGAGAAACAATCATGACACCAAGGTGGCTAGAAATAAATTAAGTATACGTGTGTGGTTTAGTGGTCTCAAACCACATAAGTACATCCTACCACACTCAAACTGAATTTATCAGCCTCCCCTTAGCCAGATCCTAAAAGTGCTTATGGTCTTTCAAATGCCATCTGATGCAAGACTTAGAATCCGCAAGGTGGCAGTGCAAAGAGACAAGAGTTGTAGCCAAATGTGGCTGAAACTGTTTACTTTTGCAAACTTGACAAAGATATATGGCTAGTGAACACATTGCAGGGGTCCCTCCCGGGACTATAGAAGGAGCCAGGCAAGTGAGGTCCTTTCACCATCAGTCTCCTTTTGACCTAATCTGTGCCAGGCCTGTGCTCAGCCCTGGGTTTGTGAAGGGAAATGGAAAACATTTCCTACAGTGGGCTTTACCCGACCTGTCTTGACAGAAAATGACTGGACAGGAAAAATTATCCATTTCTTCTTTGTCAATTATCTGAATCAAACCACACAGGTCTAGACTGATACAGGGCTGGCCACTTGTTTCCAGGAGAGGCTGACCGTAGACAGCATTCATGTCTGGCATGGCCTTTTTGCCTGAATCCAATCAAAGGCACTTTGCAAAGTCATTTCCAGGCGATATGCCAAGGCTTAAGTTCTCACAATCTCTGCTAAGGAGTGGGAGACCTGTGCCCACAGCTTTGGTGGGTTAGTTCCCTGCTCTCTCTTATATGTCACCATCTCTGTGAGCCAAGATTTTTTCCAGATCCCCAACCAAGGACTCAAAAAGGTACAGGGCTTGCTCTGGTTTTTCTCTCAGAACCCTAAAATCCAGACCCCACCATTTTCCAGGATTGGCTCTAGGAATGTAAGAGGCTGCAGTAGCATTAGGGAGTCCTTGCAGGACTCTGCCTGGGGACCCGGGGACCTCACCCTTGTCCCAGCCCCATGAAGAGTTACAAACACAAAGCTCCTAAACTTTAGATGGCCTTAATTATAATTATGGGAAAGTATTGAGCTCCAAAACTGGAGGCCTGAACCCCAGTCTTGGCTTCTGTGCCATGGGAACTTGGATAAATCATCTACCCTCTTTAAGGCTCAATTTTCTCATCTATAAAATGAAGGAGTTCAACTACACAATATCTGAAGGTCCCTTCCATATCTGTTATGGACAGCTATGATGTTGACAGGGAAGGTGATGAAGTGCCATGTTTCAATTGGTAATCGGTAGTAAAAGCGCCTGTGGGCCTAGCCTTCTGGTGGGTTCTGTGAGAAACACAAACTAATCAGGAGTTAGGGTCCAAAGAACTTGAACTTACCCCTTCATTAAACACACAGAGAAAGAGGGAAATAAAATCACGCTGATGTCTTTAGACTAAGGTGGGGGCAGGAATAAACATGCATTTCGTTCTACCCATGGAAATAAGCTCCCCTCTCAGATGCTGATGAGTAACTGCCTAAGACATTATAGATTATAAAACCTAACTGAAAGTCAATTGACTCAAAGGCCAAGTAGATTTGATTGCTGATTATTTGCCGATAACCCAAAACAGGCTGATGTTGCAATAAGATTTCAGAAGATCTTAGTGATTAAAACCACATTAAATAATCAAAAAGGAATGATAAGCCATGATAACTGGGGTGGGGGTGGAGAGGGCGGGGAGGGGTAGAGGGAGAGAGAGAATCTTAAGCAGGCTACATGCCCAGTGTGGAGCCCAGTGTGGTGCTCCAACTCACGATCCTGAAATCACAAGCTGAGCCAAAAATCAAGAGTTGGATGCTTAACGGACTGAGCCCCCCAGGCACCCCACTGCTGCTCTTGAAATCAGAGCTCACAAGCACTGTGCCCAGTATGGGGTAGACAGCTGTAATCCTTGGCAACATGGATAGCTGCCTCCCTGGTATGCCTTTAGGGGTCTTGGGTGCATCCCCAGGAGCCTTCCTCACTTAGGTGTTCACTTCTGATATTCATGGAAGGGCATACTCTATCATTAATTTCAAAATAAGACATCAAGTTTGAAAGGCAATCATTAGAAGAAATCAAAGATTGACTCCATGTCATTCTGGGCCTTCATTCCATCTCTAGAATTATTCATGATTTTTACTGGTAATTTCTTTTTCTAGAGTGGTTCCAGGCAGTATGTCTCTCTGTTTTCCTGGGAGTATCTCAAGTGGGGAGCAAGTACCCCTGGCACAAAGTCCATCCAGATATCTT